ACATCCCCCCCCCCCCCACACTCACCACTCTGCTCCTACTTCGCTGCTCCTCCTATGTGATTTTACTACAGGGGGGGTCATGGAGACACCCATCTCCCAAGTCTAGTTAATTAAGGGGATTCTATTTTAAAGAGTGTAGCTGGCTTTCAATGGATCTTCAATTGGAATTACTGCTCATTCTCCACATCGGTTGAGCTGGAATAGGTTTGACCTGCATCTCCCTAAATTCCATCTGGGGTATGTCAGACACAGAGAAATGCAGATTTGGCAGAATGTTTCTTGACTAATGGTGTGGAAATGTGTGTGTGACTGAAAACTAAAGTAAGCCACATGCCTTTTAGCATTTTTATACAAGATAAGCTGCTGGCATGCTACTCCTGCAAATAGTACAGTCTAAAAACTCTCCATTATGTAGAAACACGGGGGTGGTTAGAGTACATTATGGAATGGTCTCTTGCGGTGTGTGTGAGCTAATGCATGCAGATTTAATGTAGATAGCAGTTTAACCCAACACCTCTGCCAAAACATCTTCAACCCTCAGCACAGTTGTGTTTTTACCCCTTAGATGCCCCTATTCATATTAATGACATTTGGCATTCCTCATAATATAAGGATTCCTGCTTATCTTCCTTTGGATCTGATGGGACTGACTCCAGCAGTCTGGCAACCCTGGGAGACAAACAAAAACATCCCTGTAGGGGCTCTTAGTGTGACCTCAACATAGTTGGCCATCTATCCATGATGAACATGTAAGAGGAGCAAAAGTTTTTTTTTCCTGACATGTAGATGTAGCTGTCACAGAGCTCGTAGCTTTGGCTCTGTTGCTGCAGGAAAGCCACTATCATTACTTACAAGTTGGAAGAAAAGAGTCCTTAAACATACTCAGTTAAATGAGCACATCCTCAGATCTGATGTCTGTGGAAGATAACAGGGTTGCTGATGAGGATGATACACCACCTCCTGAAGGAAATAGCAGTGCACACATACACTGTCATTCAATGTGACGGCTCCTCCCAATTATTGGAATGTCATCTGACTTACAGCACAGCCTCAGGTTACTGCACTTATTCATCACCAGCTGCTTGTGTGCATGTACTCCGTTGTGACTGTCCAATACCGCGCCCTAAAATGCAACAAGATGCAGTGACTCGTGCTCACGACCTCCCTCTCTTCAGATCCCTCCATCCTGTCTAATAATATTTGCCTAGTCAACAATAAAACAGATGGATCCTTTGTGTTATGATCATTGGTAATGAAAAATCAGAGCAAAGTAATTTCACTGAAACTCATTCATCAAAATATCTGTATATATAAAACCATGTAAGATGTTGAGGATCAACATTATTTTAATCAATATAGCTTCCATGTAAAAGGTTTTTAAAAATGAAAAGTGCCTGCTGCTGAAATGTTTTCAATACATCTATTAAAAAGCTTTCTATCTGTCGCTAGTTTATTGTTGGATAAGAGGTACTTCATTTCTAGGCAGCCATTAAATATTGCCACTAACCCGAAATCACTTTGTTTCTCCATAGCGTACCGGTGAAACAAGTAATAGAAAGCTGTCTAAATCATTAAGCTCATTTGGCAAAATGCTAAATATTTTCTTCAGTCATTCAACAATGTAGTTATTTAAAATTAATCGGGGCACATTTACCGTACAGTGTCCATACACACACACACACACACACACTTGCTTGGTATCACTCTCACATCTCCATTAGGATGTAAATTCAAGCAAAGTTTTATGTCTGAATCAACACACTCTTAATGGTGATTATAAGGGGGAGGAGGAGGTTATTGATGTGTCATTTAAACAGGAAGGCCCCTTAGTAAAAGTGTGTGTGTGTCTGTCTGTGTGTGCATACTAGCACCTGCCACGACCATAATGAGACTTTCTTACACACATATAGACACACACACCTGACCTTTTCAAAATCCTTCTGACATTTACAGGGCCGGTGCGAAGGGGCGAGGACAGCTAATTTACATAATGATAAGACCTAACCGCGACAGCCATTAACACAAAAACCAAACCAGACCGTAGCCCCTTGCTCCACTGCGACTAATGAGATACTAAGGATGTACTTTTTCCTTCTTTTATTAGAGAGGGAAAAAAACTCCAGTCATGATCCATCAACTATTCCTTTAATGGACAAGAGCGTAATGTTCTATCTCTGTTGTAATGACGAATAGTCCCGGGCTTGGCAGGACTACACTGGTCACACAGAATCTCTCCATGTGGAGGGAATCTCTCCATGTGGAGAGCTAATAGATGGAACTGTTACACAAGTAGAACTGCCAAAAGAAACATCACTTCAGAGTTATTGTATTTGTGGGAGGACATGGTGTTGTGAAAATGCTGGAACATTTCCACAAGTCATTACAACATTAACTGGTATGACTATGCAGGATGAAAAACACCATTTAAGAGGGGCCAATGCAGCTCTGGCTGACAAGAAATCCTATAACCTTGGTGACAGACCGTGGTGGGGTCACATGTGGTTTATTTTCCTCTCTGTCTGCACGTTGTTCCTGTAATAAACAGCATGGCCTTCAGTCCAAAAAGAGGCTGGGATTTAGGCCATCTAAATAAAACAATGACTACCGTTGCTCAAACAGAAGCACCGGACAAGAGAGAATGAAAGATATCTGAAAATAAAAAAAGACACGAGAACAAGGCCCTTGTATGTACTCGATGGCAGGGGTGGGGGAGGGAGCGAGGGATGGCGGGAGAGAGGAAGGTTTCAAGTGGCGGGTAGGATAGAGGGGAGGTGGGGCGTCGCCTGTCTTAATCAGTCGCTGTCTGTTTAGTTTTCCAGCCAATCCTGAAACTCAGCTACAACCCTGCACACTGCAGCAGGCTGCCAAAAAGCCACCTGTTTCCTCAAAAAACTAAGGAGAGCCATCAAGAGCGGCGTTGAATCTGAATTAGCTTGGCTGGAGGCTTTCAGGTACAAAGACAAACATTGGTTTATTTGTGAGTAGAGAAGGAAGCAGCCTCCTACCCCAGCCCTGACCCTGCATACCCACCCGTTTCTCAGGCAGCCATCCAGCCATCCAGCCAGCCACCCCCTGCACGCAGCTTACTCAGCCATAAAGACAATGCTGCCATGGCCTCATACACCGCCCCCCCCAACCAAACTCCCACTCACACAAGCCCACCCCTCTTCCAATAAAAACATCTCCATGGTAATGGGCCAAGCCTTTCTGACCCACATAGTGCTCCCTCACAACCTTGACATGGTGCGTGGGGGTGGTATTATAGTGTAATTTCGTAACTTAAACTAGACCCCCACCTTCCAGGTTCAATTACAATATATATAGATATAGATATATATGTAAGTGTGTGTGTGTGTGTGTGTGTGTAACTACAAAAGCCTAACTTAATTAAAAAACCATCAAACTCAATGTTGAATTTTTACATTATGGCTAGGCCATATTAAACTGAAAACTTTGCAGAGAATTAAATCACTTCTCTCACTCTCAGACGCAGGAAGGAAGGTGGAGGTAAGTGGTTGCTGTCAGAGCTTGAGAGGAAATGGGAGAACTAAAAATGCAAAGTAGACAAGTGAAAAGTTTCAGCTCCGCAGTTGCAGATTAAGTTGCATAGCTTAACTATTACCCAAAAGGAGGTCAGGGGTTCACTTTGAAAAACTGACTTAAATGAAAGAAAACTAAAAGCAGTGTTTTGCTTGTTCTGGTAAAGCCTTGCCTTTTTTCCCCCCTCCCTCGCTCATGAATACATAATACCATTTGTTTTGTTTCCCCCCACTTTTCTCCCTCCCTTAAGAGCACTTCATGTTCTGTAAAATTAAATTGGATAAAAAAGGTCCACCGCATGAATAAGTCAAAAGAGTGACTGTCCTTATGAGTCATGATTAATACAACACCATGCACAATCAACTGCATTACTGTACAATACTGAAAATGTATACTGTAGCTGTGCCAGAGTGTTAGATCTAGTCCTACATTCTTGTCCCAATTACGGCACACAACAAATGGCTGGCCTAGCAAGGAAGCTGAGAAAATGTTGAACTGGTTTCATGCCACACGCATTCATATGTTAATAGGTTAACTGCATGCCAGGAACTGTTTTCGCTCATTTCTGGGCCTACTCATTATGGCAGTGATACCTGTAGGCTATACTCAGCTCAAGTGGACTGGAAAACACCTGAATAATTAACCTGTAAACAGGTTGCCAGGGAAGCTTGGTTGGCCTGCCCCCTTAATTGTTTATAATAATAATAGCAACCAACTTATAATGGAGGCCTACATAGCAGTGGTGGGAGCGGAACTGAAATAAGTTACAACTACAAAAAAGAAGCTAGCAAAGATTAAATCATGAGTCAGCTGTGCAAATATTTAAGTTTCACTTCCCCCCTCGGTTACTCTCAGCATATATTATGAGCTACTTCCAGTCCCATTTTTCTTAACTGAACTGTAACTAATAGAGGATGATGTGCGGACATAGGGAAGAAAAGGAACAGGGTGGGTGTTGAGGAGGAGAATGGTGCCTTTAGGGGAAAGAGTACCAAGGACAAACAGTGACGGAGTTTAAAGAGGAGAGGACTTTACAGTAGAGACCGACAGGCACCTGGGGAAAAACACCTTGCTCCAGAGCCACACCTTAACTAAAACAAAACATGGGGGTTGAGTCACCGACCGAAACTCGGGTCAAAGATCGATACAGACTGTTCATGACCGAAAACAGAGAAAGAATGAGGAAAAAGAAAGGATGCAGGCTTTTAGCTCAAACTATCTCCTTTTACATTTTATTTTTTAAGGGTTAAAGAGGTTAACCTGGCCAGTATAGCCTACCTTCCGGATTGCCTGCTCCAGTCTCCACCCTGACAGGTGTTAGCTACTCAGGTTTAAATTTATCTCCTCTTAAATTATTAACGCTGTGAGAAGAAATGAAAGGTAGGCTACGTGTGGTCCGGAGCTGGGCACTAGGCACATTAAGTTTTTAATTTTTTTTTTTATAAGTGATCATTTCTTACCGTGTTGAATAAGTATCGCCGCGACCAAGAAGAGCAGTCCTATCATTTTTGAGCAGTCAGGCCAATTTCGGGCGTCCTGTCTCGCCATGGTCGATCACGGGTCCTCTCAATGAAACCAGGAGCGCTGTCTCTTGCAAAAATCGAAACAACACCTTAAGATGCGGTTAGTGTCACTCAATCAAGGCACACACAAAAAAAAACTTGTTCGGCTACAGGACAGACGAGGGCTCCGAGATTCTTGTTTGCGTCCCTCACTGCGCCTTTAAGACGAAAGTCAGCTAAAATGAATGAAAATCCTTTTGAATTCGTCCTGGCAGCGCACAGGTGAATATTTCCTTCAGCTGCTGCTCTGGCTGTAACAATGTGTTGCTGCGCGCGCTCTCTTTCTCTCTGGGCTACTCTCAACAACTAGTTCCGCTGAGTCTGAGCGCGCGGCTGTCCGACTGTGTGTGTGACTGACTGGGTGATGTCATCAGGCTGAGGCGTCACAGCCCCGTTTCCCAAAAACCAATTAGGCGATGGCAGGAGGGGGGACGCTTAGAACAACTTGTTGAAATCGCAAAAAAGCTGTTTTCCTTCGAAAACACAGGCTGCACCTAAATGGCGTCTGAGGTGCACAGCATGTTACTTTGATTTCTGTCATTAATCCCTGGAAAACACAAATGATCAAAATGCGTGAGTCATATCCAAGAAAATCCTCATAGCTATATTTTACAAGCTCCAAAAGCTCAGCTCCGTTCATCCAACTCTTAATATATTGCCTCAAAGTAATTTTAAATATAAAGCCACATTCATCCTAAAAAACAACAACGACATAAAGTTACAACACGATGTATGGAAGTCAGATACTTGATGTGGTGGTGTGGTACGTGGGAGCAGATGATTCTTACGCCCTCTGCTGTCTGTTTCTGCACACAGACTTGAAATTAGCTCATTTAAACTCCAGCACAACAGATGCCAAAATCAATAAACATTCATTAATGAACGGCAAAATACAAATCCAGTGGCAGTCAGCAAAATCAAATCAAGAGGAAACAGCCTCTCATGTATCTGTTTGCAGACTCCAGCAGACTCTGTTGATGAGAATTTTTTTTTCCTTCCACAGAATGACTTCCAATTCATTTTGCCCTATTTTCCTCTGGAGCAGGGTGCATGCTAGCATAGCGAAGGCATTATCTGGTTTAGGTCTAATCCCTATACCCAAGTGTTTTACAGCCAATGTAATTACATCTTCATGAGTCCCACAAACCGTGCTGCTCAGCTCCTTCTATTCCATTTCCAAATTCCCCTCCAGTGTCACAGTGTCCAGTGTCTGTATTACTGAGGTGCAAATTCTGACAACGATCAGAGGTCAGACAATGTTCTGCACACCAGGAAAAACAAATTGCCAATTTAAATATGTTCATCTTTTGGAGATTCATGTCTTCTAAGAGACAGGAAGAGTTCCACTGCTTGCCCACTGTAAAATCCAGAGGCTATGAAAGCATCTGCCATGCAAACAAAACTGCTGTGGGTTTTAAATGCCGATGGTACTTTTCACTGCCATATTTAAATTTGCAGCCATCTTTTAGCCCTGTAACTGAATGTTTGAACACCCAGTCAGAGAAAGTGTGCAGGGACCACCCATGCGACCGCTGCTACCACTAAATCGTATGCATTCATGGTAGAATAAGGAGCTTTAAAGGAAGTGGCCATCGAATGGAGGATTTCATTCCTTTTCCCATACTCATCCATTTTTCATACCCATACCAAATTGACCTTCACACCTTCCACTTTCCAGCTACCACCCACTTTACTGATACAGTAGGCTACCTCACCTCTTTTTTCTATCCATTTCACACCCCTTACACATTCCCTTCGTTTACACATCACTTTCCTCTCCTTCCTTCCTCAGTCCTCCCCCCTTCTGTCCCTCTCTCTCTCCCTCTTCCCGTGTCATCCGATTTCCTTTGCCCACTCGTCCTTCACTCCTTGCTGCTATTCATTTCGTCCTCCATCCTCATGCTCTCCGGGGGTCTGTGGCAGTGATAATGAAGCGCATAGTTAACAGATATTAGCTCATTGGCAGTGGATTCATTAGACAGAGCCAAGGCTTATGGTGATTATTTACCCATAGAGGAGGGGCAGCCACAGGATCAGTACCATGCTCTGTGTCAGCAGCCACAGGCTTCTTTGAAGTCACACTGTCTCTGTTCCCTTGCAACACTCGTTCACACTTCTCCTCTCCCAGGGTTTTCTCATTCTGTCTGAGCACCTCTCCCTCCACATTTCTCCCCCTTGCTTCTCTCCTTTTTTCTCTTTCCCTGTCATTAGACACCCACAATACATATCTGCTTTCTCTCCCTCTCCCTCTCTTTCTCTATCTCTCTTCACCGCCCCCATTCACCCAATGGTAATTATGGAAAAATCTGTAATAGTGCTCAGAGGAGCTGATAATACCTTTAGCTTAATTAAAGACATTTATGGGATGTAAAGACATGTAGCCTTAGGGTTGCTGTGCACCCACACTAACTCAAACTCTTTATTTCTTGCTTTTTCATCTCCCTCAATCCCTCACTTTCTGCTATTCTTATCATTTTCTCTGTTTCACACACACATTATGATACACATGAATACATGCTCATTCCTTTTGTCAAACTGAATGTTTGGGCCAGAAGTTCTGTAACTAATTGCCCGAAGTTCAGTTCCAAAGTGTTGTAAAACATTGCCTACATTATGGTGTAAGGCTTGTGTGGGGTAATGGTAATATATGTAGTTTATCAGCCTCGAACACACTCATATGACAGTCTTTTCCTGTTGATTATCCCAGTGTTGGTCTTGCCACATCCTGTTGGCTGAAAGATGCACGGCAAACTTGTTAACATGTCAGTCATTGACACCAGTAAAATTGCAGGAAAGTCAACAATACTTGGTGTTCTGAAGCGTACTTAGAAAGGTCACAGTGTTGTAGAGACAGCTAGTGCAGTGACAGAGCTTTTATCTTTTTTTGAATGTATGATGGAGTCTGTTTTTCTCACCTTTCTTCTTGTTTCTTCCTTTGCGGTAACTTCATCTCACTTTGGCATCACAGGTATGAAAAACTTCTCTGATTTTTAGTTTGCTTTAAACTGATCTTGCTGGGAAGGGAGTCTACATTTTCCAGCTGATTTCCAGTTGCTTTTGGAGTCATGAATGACATCTTTCCTCCATATCCCAAGTGGTCAGTTTAAGAAGTTCAACAATCATTGGTGTCATTTGTTGTGGAAATTATATTCCTGGTGAGAGGTTGAGCAAATAATTGAGTTACAACGAACCGTTGTCTTTGAAGAATTTATTTAACAAAAGAGAATAAACAGAGAAGTACTACAACAAAATCAGCTGGACCGGAGGTTCTGTCTCCTAAGACAGTCACTAATGTCTGGCCCAGAGCAAAGGGCTTCATGATCATTTACACAGTCTGAGCATCTATGTTTTGGGGAACAAAAGATCCTTGACTGGTCTCAGTTAAGGAAGGAGAAGAACAGCTAGTGAGGAAAACAATCAACAACCCCACATTCCTGACCTAAACACAACACATGTGGACAGACTGGGATAACAAGAACAATAATAAAAAGTGAAACAGGTTAAAGATTTAAAACAATATATAAGACATATTAAAAGGAGAAAAATAGCACTCTTATAAGTACTTGCATAAAGGATTATAAGTAAAGAAAAAATTTTTTTTTGCCCTTACATAATTTACACTGGGGACGCTGGGGACATGTCCCCACCACTTTTTGAAATGGACGATTTTGTCCCTACCACTTTCTGAAAACACTTGCTAAAAGTCTTCTGAAAATTAGCTTGCAACAAGAAATGTTAAATAACAAATTGAAATTTTATGAGAAAGGTTTACTTGCACAATAGGAAAACATGAAATGCAATGTAAATATAGAAGAAACATCTGCCTTGTTCAAAAAAGTAACTTAGGCTAAAAAAACAAGCTACTGACTACTGCATTATATTCAGTAATATTTTCATAATCTGAATTTTCACTGGCCACATGAATTTTTTTGTTTCCCTTCATATAAATAAAGACATTTCCACAATAAATTGGTTATTGTCTCTAGAATGCAGGAAGGAGTTTAATGCTCAAGGGAGGACCCCCCAATCGAATAACCTATTTCATCAATGAATATTTCTTCCAAATAACATTGGAGTATCTTGTTGTCTAGTTCTTGTGACTCCAATATTGTGTTTTGTCACACCCCTAATCTGAGCCCTTAAATGTTCCAACCACTTTTCAACACAAAGTGACGTCCTTGTTAACAATGTTACATCAAGTTAAGGAGAGCTTAAGGAAAACTTGTGATTTCATGTGATTTTTGTGGCACAATGTATTGACATTAATCCCAACCAAACCATCTATAACAGATAGGTTAAAATATTTTCAAGTCTGTCCTACAACAACATTCACATGCCCATATATAGATTGAAAGAGTTATTGGTTCTTCCTCTTGGCCATAATGGCTGCGAAGACATCTCTTTTCTAAATGTCCATCTTTTATGCGAGACAAAATCCACTTATTTCTGTGTAAAAACACATTTTAAATGCATTTGAAGTTAATATGATTCTTTACTGGATGAATAAAGTGGTTATCTTCCAAAGTTACAGTCTTTTTAGTACAAAATTCTTTCTTTTTGTTGCTCTTCAGCCACCGCAGCTCAGCAAAAAATTGTTGTCCATGGAAACAGAAAGAGAGGAATTTGGCACTAAAAAGACTATAGATATCCATTAGATCTGACTGACTCCCGACTGTTGGACCTCCTATTAGCTCCAGCAAATCTCTTGAAGTAATTTTTACACAGAAATAGGAATGTGGATGTGTCCCACATTATGTACATTGAAATTGCTTTAATAAGGGATCTCTTTGCAGACAATATGGACAGAAGGAACAATTACAGGTACCAATAACTTTTTCAATGTACATGTGGACATGTGAGTATTGTTTAAAGGCAAACTTGGAAACATGCGAACCTATACTTTTAGAACTGGACAAAAAACAGACTTTAACAATGAAGTAAAGATGCATAAATTCAAGGCATTCTTAAAGACTCACCTGAATAATTCAGTTTCTGTCCTCTCTCCCTTAGACTGGGATGATGTTGTGGTGGTTAGAGAGGGCATGTCTACCACCTTGATCTGCACTGATACAACAGTGAGGGGTGCCTTGTCCCTTAACTGGATGGTGAAGTCACTTGGTACAGATGAATGGAAACTGGTTCTCTCAGCCAGCGAAAGGAAAATGTTATATGGTGGTGCCTCAAAGGCATCCATGGAATTGACTGACCCTAACTTTCAAGACACCGGGGTTTTCTCTCTGTTCTTTCTTCCCAAAATGGAGGACAGTGGTCTCTACTCATGTTCGATAAAGCAACAAGAGAAGAATCCAAAGCAGAGGATTATCCTCCTAGCTATCCTTACAGGTAGGAAA